AATTTCTGCATAAATTGCTCCCTTCGCAGACATCCAGTCATCTGTCAGTACGATGGTGTTTTCATAAACCCTTTCGTCCCAGCGAAGAATGGGCCATCGCGACGCAATGAAGACACCGCCATTTTCAGGTGGAAGAATCAGGCCAACTCCGACAGTTCCAGTGAAATACCTAAATCCATAATATTCCATGATCTGACGGAAAGAAGCGCCATGCTGGGGAAAGCAGCCTCCCATGAAAGCTTCGTTAAATATAATAGCATCAAGGTCGCCATGTCGAGTGAATATCTGAGTGAGTATTCTACAGGTACGTTCCCGTTGTCCACTCTGCCATATTAAATAACGCAGTTCATATACGTTGTATGCCAGGGTTTTAAATGTGGTGGCCGGAGTTGGTTCAGACAATGTCATTTCTGGGACAGCACACAAGACATTCTTAGCAGTACTGAAGTAACACTTGTCCCATACTTCATAGTCTGCGCTGCACACATACTCTAGACCAAACATTTCACAGTAATCTGGCGTCAGTAAGTCGCATTCATCGGTTGCTTTACCTGATAAATGTAAGAATAATACTTATTGTATCAGTTGTTGAATCACGAATAACATAATCTTGTTAGACTCATTTTAAAATAAAGTGATATAGGCTTATAATTGCTTACCCAGCCATACACTTGGCCTGTCCTCGATACACTCAGCTGTAAAAGACAATTGCTACATTAGAAACATACACTTCAAGGGTGGGGGGCGTCGCGCCGCTTATGCGTGAGATATTGGTCCCATTATATTAACAAAGATGACGACTTTGACTTTTGCGCAGATCGACGCGGTCGAAACAGACACTACCGAGGTTTGATAATGTAATTTCTGTTTTGATTTGTAGGCATCGAATGACTGGTACATCGGGACCGGATCAAAACAGGCATTTATGTTTGCGATTGACAGATTGCGGCGAAAATCTCACAAAATTTGCATATGCAAGACGCGACGACCATAATGTTTGAAAACAGTTTTGCCTATACTTATTGCAAATTTGTCACTATAAATTTTTTTATTGTTAAGTTTTGCAAATATAATGAATATTATTTACCATTGGCCAAAGGTTTAGATCAACATTTATTATAAATATGGAAAAGTTTATGATGTGACAAATGTTACATAAATAATGTTGATGTTCATGATGATGATGATGATGATACAGTGTGTTTGTTAAATTTTAGATATTGATTTGCGTTTCTGGGGAAAAGGATTTGTATTTGCATTTGTATAGCCCAGTACTTTACTTATAAGAAATCACTAAATTTAAATATGTCTTCAATTAATTGCGATACGCGTTTGACCTGCATATGAATATGTATATATGTGAAAATCTACAATGATGGGCGAAGCTCGAGCGAACCATAGGACCTTATCTAATCAGACCTCCATGCGTAATTTAGTAGAAACAGTCAACTGTTCCATATTCATGTATTGATGGCATTATTATTAACCCGAACACCATGTTTACTAAGGATACTATTACCGACGTGATGTGTATCCGAGTTACGACTAGATAGGGGGCGCACCGAGACACCAGACGTCATATCAACAAATGATGACTGTGTATCCTGGTGTTAGATACCTAATCAATCAATCAATGAATAAATAAATAAATAAATAAATAAATAAATAAATAAATAAATAAATAAATAAATAAATAAATAAATAAATAAATAAATAAATAAAGAAATAAGAAAGAAAGAAAGAAAGAAAGAAAGAAAGAAAGAAAGAAAGAAAGAAAGAAA